TTCTCCTCCCCAGATTCTCTCCCTTTTCCCCCCCATATTTTCCCTCCTCCTCCCAAATTAATTCTCCTCCTTCTCAAAACTTCTCCCCCTCCCCATCTTTTCCTTCCCCACCCACAACATCCCCCCCCAACCCACACCAGGAAAGGGAGTGAAAAAAAAAACCCCAAACCCAACAAAAACCCAAACAAAGCTCCTTTTACAGAAAACCTGGAGGTTTTTTTTTTATCCCAGCAAAACCATAAAAACTCCCCCAAAAAGCTCCTGGCAAAGCTCCAAATAAAAACAAGAACCCAAACAACCAGGAATAGCAAAAGATACAAACCCCCCCTCCCCAAAAAATAAACCACAACCACCCAAACAACCCAAAGAATCCAGACAGAAACATTCCCTGGGTTTATCCAAAGGGATCTAAGGGATCATTAAGAACCAAGTAGAAAAAGAAACACCCAATTTCTTCCCTTCTAATGAACTTGTTGATCCTGGAGGGTTTGGAGGTTTTAAGGCTGAATCCTCCCCCCTCCCCCAAAAAAACAACCCCTGTGGGGGTTGGTAAAATCACCCCCAAACCTCAGTGCAGGTTTTGAACCAGGTGAAACCCCCTCCCCAAAAGAAAACCAGTCCAAGTTGAGGTGACCAACCCCCTGTGGGACCCTTGGGCAGCTGCTCAGCCTTCCATGGCCTTAAATTTGGGGGTTACATTGAATTTTTGGGCCTTAGGATTTTGAATCCCTTTTACTCTCCAAATTTGGGTTAAATTGAATTTTCCTGCCTTAGGATTTTGAATCCTTTTTACTCTCCAAATTGGGGTTAAATTGAATTTTTCTGCCTTGGAATTTTAAATCCCTTTTATTCTCCAACTGGGGTTGAATTTTTCTGCCTTGAAATTTTAAATCCCTTTTATTTTCCAGTTGGGGTTTCAATTCAATTTTTCTGCCTTGGAATTTTAAATCTCTTTTATTTTCCAGTTGGGCTTGAAGTTGAATTTTCCTGCCTTAGGATTTTGAATCCTTTTTACTCTCCAAATTTGGGTTAAATTGAATTTTCCTGCCTTAGGATTTTGAATCCTTTTTACTCTCCAAATTGGGGTTAAATTGAATTTTTCTGCCTTGGAATTTTAAATCCCTTTTATTTTCCAATTGGGGTTTCAATTCAATTTTTCTGCCTTTTGAAATTTTAAGTCCCTTTTATTTTCCAACTGGGGTTGAATTTTTCTGCCTTGAAATTTTAAATCCCTTTTATTTTCCAATTGGGGTTGAAGTTGAATTTTCCTGCCTTAGGATTTTGAAACCTTTTTACTCTCCAAATTGGGGTTAAATTGAATTTTTCTGCCTTGAAATTTTAAATCCCTTTTATTTTCCAAAACTCTCCCTTATTTTTTCCCCCTTTTAGGAGCTGCCAAAGGGCTGGACCTGCCCCCCCCCAGGATCTAAAGTGACTTCTTGGTTTTCATTTGGTTTGCTGAAAACTCCCTCATCTTAACCTAAAATTAACCAGATTTATACACACAAATTTCTCCTCCTCCCCAGGAAAGGCTTTTGTTGGGTGTCAAAAGTGAATTAACTCCTCAGTTGGGGGATATTTTGGGGGAGGAACCAGGAGGAACTGGGAGGAGCTGATCCCAGCAGAGCTGCCCCAGCACCAACCCCTCCCTTCCCTCCACCACCAGGAGACTAATTAACATTCTCCTCAAGGCACTAATTATCTCAGCACAACCCCAGGTGGGACCCTGGAGTGTCCTCAGAGGGTGGGGGGAGAGAAGGAAGGTGGTTCCAGCTCCTTCCAGGGCTCAGAACCAACAACCACAATTAATCAGGTGATTCATTTTGCCAGTGGAAAATGAGCTGAGGAGCCACCAAGTCCTGGGGGAACATCAAGTCCTTGAGGAACCCAAAAATTCCTCAATTCAACCCAATTTGGGTGTCACTTGACGTCCCAGAAGATGGAACTTTTGACCTTGGGGGATGTTTCCCCAGGGGTCTCATTAGTCCCTAAGCTGGTAGGACATGGCAAGGACACCCCAGTGGGGACCAAGGGCTCGTGAGCAAGACAAGGGACACTCTGGGTTGGCCAAACCCCAATGGTTTTAAGGCTGAAACATCAACATTGACCTGCTCCTCCTCTGGAGTGAAGCCCCACATGGGGGGGGGGAAAGGAGACAGCAGCTCTGGGTCATTAACAAGGTTCCAAATGAGGAGACAAACATCCTGTGGGGTGGAGAGGAAGGAGGAGGAGGAAGGCAAAAGCTCTAGGTGTCCTGCTGGTCTTTGTTCTTCTTCTTCAGGAGCTTCTTCAGGTCGGGGGACATGAAATAAGGTTTCTCAGCTGAGCCGTCGTTGCGCTCCAGGTCCTCCACTGCAAAGAGAAGCCCCCCCAGGCCCCACGTGGGGAGGGGGCAGACACACGAGTTGGGGGGCTGGAGGAGGTGCTGGATCCTCCTCATTTGGCTACAGATGAAAAGGTCTTGTTGTTTTTTTGGGGGGGGTTTGGGGGGGTTTCAACTTCCACCCCCTTCCACGGGGAGCGTCGCGCTCCGGGGGTTTCTTTCCCTTCTGGTTTTTGGGAAGAAAACAGAGGGTTTTGGGGTTGTTTTGTTGTTTTTTTTGGGGGGGTCGTGGGGAGATTTAGCAGCACCAGAGGGAAAAGAATTAAAAAAAACCCCAAACAACAAGATCTTGGTGGTTCCTCTAAGGAGCCAACGTGGCTCTTCCCACCTCTCGGTGCAACCAAAGAAAAGGTTCTCGGGTTCTTCTCACAGCAAGAAGTGGGAGGGAAATCCCAGCTCTAAACCCCCCTCCCCCCCAAAAAAACAACCAGTAATTAAAAAAACAACCAAAAACCCAACAAACCCCACAAAGCAGCAGCTTGAGAGCAACCCCTGGGGTTGTTTGGAGGAGGGTTTGAGGAGCTTTGGGGGATGAAAAGGTTGGTATCGACGCTGTTGACCCAAGAGGGCCCAGCTCAGGAGATGGAGCTTGGGCAGGAGATTTTGGGTCTCCCTGCCCCCCCCAAAAATGGTGGCTTTTTGAAAAAACCTCCATTATTCTCTTAGAAGAGGAGTAAAAGGCCCAGCCTGTCTTTTCTTTGGTGTCTTTGGAAATATCTTGGATCATTTCTGGACCATCCCTGGTGTTCCTGTTGGAACCTCCACCAGCTGCTCTCCCAGCCCAACTTTGTTGGGGTGAGGGGGGGGGGAAAGAAGTGGGTTTTTTTTTCGAGGGGGCTGATTTCTCTAGAAAATGCCCCAACAAGCCTGTGCCAGCATCAAGGGGAACTGGAAGGAGCCAAACCATCCACTTGACCACCTGGGTGGGGGAAAGAAAAGCTCCAGGAGGAGCTACCACCTCCCTGCAACCAGGGAGAGGAACCACTTGAACCATTTCCAACCATTCCCAAGCTGCTTCTAAAAGCCCTTTGGCCTTTCAACAGCTCCTCTTGCCTTCCCCACAAGTTGGGAAATGGGTCCTTTTTGGCTCCCAAGAAGCTCTGCTGGACCATGAAAGAGCTGCTAATGCATCAAACCAAAGAGCCAACAGGATCCACCACCTCCCCGAGGGGGGAAGAAGAAAGAGAAATGGATTTTCCAGCTGCCAAATCCACTTGGCTTCTCTCACCAACCACCCTCCTGCAGGGACCCAGAAGCTCTGCCCTCCTCCTGGGACCAAAATCCACCTTCTCCTCCAGACAAACCACCAGGACATCAACACCTGGAAGCATCCAAACCCTTCCCAGCCCTTTGTTGGGAGCCCCCAAACCCCCCCAAGTTCAGGGATCGGGGCCGGGAAGGTTGGTTGGAAGGAACCAGCCCCACCAACTCTACCCTCAAAAGCTCTGAAGGACCATCCAAAGGGAAAGATCTGCCATGGAAAAAGGCTGCTTGGGTTTTGGGGGGGGGTCCAAAGCACCCTGTGCCCCCCGGACCAGCCCTTAGGCTTGGCTGTCCATGGGTTGGGAAGGCTGGAGGTTGCCCCTCAGCAGGATCTCGCTCAGCTCAGGGGACATGAAGTAAGGCCTCTCAGGAGATCCATCGTTCCTCTCCAGGTCTTCACCTTTCCACAAACCCAGGAGGAAGAGGAGGAGGGAAAGGGGGAAGGAAGAGGCAGGAAATGGTGAAGCAGAGAAGGGTGAGGAGAGACGAGAAGGAGGGAGAAAAGGAAGAGGAGAAGGGAAACAAGAAAAGTTGAAGTTAGTCACCCTGAAAGCTCCACCAAAGCAGGAGGACCAAGAGGTGGTGAAGTGAGAGGGAAAAAGAAACCACACAAGCCACGAGGGTGGGAGGATGGAAAAACTGAAACCAAAACGGCCCAAATCTGGATGGTTCTGGGGGTTTCAGCCCCAAGAAGGAAGTTTGGGGGCTCCGAGGTGGGTACTCACAGAAGCAGAGGAACAGGGTGTCCACACACATCCCATAGACACTGAGGAACCCGTGGGCAATGAAGTAGGAACCCACAATCACTGTCTGAGGAGAAACCAGGTGGTGAGACCCACAGAGAGACCCCCCCCCCACTGCTGGGGGGGCTGAGACCCCAAAATTCCTTGTGGGAATGATGAGAAACTGATGGGTGGGAAGAGCTGGAGGTTCCGAGACAAAGGGCTCGTTCCAAGTGGGGTTGGAGAAGATTCCCCCAAGCAAAGGTCCTTCAGGGAGGTGAGTTTGTCTTGGATCTTGTTCCCACCCTTGGGAATTCCAACCCCATCCCCCCCAACAAAAATTAGGAGGAGGAGACTGACCAGGATGGGAACCCAGTAATAATTGAGCGTGGGCGCCGTGTCCTCCACCAGTTTGATCCGGCGGGTGAAGAAGAAGAAGGCCAGGATTCCTGGAGATGGGAACACCTGTCCTGGAAACGGGGCTCTGGGAAAGGGGAGGGACTGGGAGAGACTGGAGGGGAAGTGGGAATGGCTGGGAGATGCTGGGGGGGAAAGGGGAATGACTGGGAGATGCTGGGGGGGAAAGGGGAATGACTGGGAGAGACTGGGGGGGAAGTGG